ATTCGGTCCAATATACTTCGTTCAGATGTAAACGAAGAGAGAACTTGATAGAGGAGAGAGTAATTTTTTGAAATCTTCCATTTTTTGCAATTGAGATAAGAATTTGGAAAAATTAATCAAGAATCGAGCGCACTTTTTTGTGCGCAATAAATATACAGTTTTTAGCTCACCTGAGCTGAAGGCTCAAGTGAGCTTTTCTGATCACATTTTGTCTGTCGTCCGTCCGTCTGTCTGTCTGTCCGTCTGTCCGTCTGTAAACTTTTCACATTTTCGACTTCTCCTCAAGAACCACTGGGCCAATTATAACCAAACTTGGTACAAAGCATCCTTGGGTGAAGGGGAATTTAAATTGTTAAAATATAGGGCCAAGTCCCCTCACAAGGGGAGATAATCAAGAAAAGACAAAAATAGGGTGGGGTCATGGTCAAAGACAAATAAAAAATCTTCTTCTCAAGAACCACTGGGCCAGAAAAGCTGAAACTTATATGGAAGCATTCTAGTATAGTGTTGATTCTAAATTGTTCAAATCATGACCCCCGGGGGAAGGGCGGGGCCACAATGGGAAATCAAAGTTTTACATAGGAATATGTAGGAAAAATCTTTGAAAATCTTATTCTCAAGAACCACTGGGCCAGAAAAGCTGAAACTTATGTGGAAGCATCCTGGGGTAGTGTAGATTCTAAATTGTTCAAATCATGACCCCCGGGGGACGGGCGGGGCCCATTGGGGAATCAAAGTTTTACATAGAAATATATAGGAAAAATCTTTGAAAATCTTCTTCTCAAGAACCACTGGGCCAGAAAAGCTGAAACTTATATGGAAGCATCCTGGTATAGTGTAGATTCTAAATTCTTCAAATCATGACCCCCTGGGGAAGGGCGGGGCCACAATGGGGAATCAAAGTTTTACATAGGAATATGTAGGAAAAATCTTTGAAAATCTTCTTCTCAAGAATCAAGGGGCCAGAAAAGCTGAAACTTATGTGGAAGCATCCTGGGGTAGTGTAGATTCTAAATTGTTCAAATCATGACCCCTGGGGGAAGGGCGGGGCCACAATGGGGAATCAAAGTTTTGCATAGAAATATATAGGAAAAATCTTTGAAAAACTTCTTCTCAAGAACCACTGGGCCAGAAAAGCTGAAACTTATGTGGAAGCATCCTGGGGTAGTGTAGATTCTAAATTGTTCAAATCATGACCCCCGGGGGAAGGGCGGGGCCACAATGGGGAATCAAAGTTTTACATAGAAATATATAGGAAAAATCTTTGAAAATCTTCTTCTCAAGAACCACTGGGCCAGAAAAGCTGAAACTTATATGGAAGCATTCTGGGGTAGTGTAGATTTTAAATTGTTCAAATCATGACCCCCGGGGGACGGGTGGGGCCACAATCGGGAGTCAAAGTTTTACATAGAAATATATATGAAAAATCTTTGAAAATCTTCTTCTCAAGAACCACTGGGCCAGAAAAGCTGAAACTTTATGTGAACATGGAAGGATCCTGGGGTAGTGTAGATTTTAAAATGTCTTAATTATGATCAGTGGGGTAGGGTGGGGATGCATTATGTATTACAAGGAGGAAATCTGGTAAAGAACATAATGGTCAAAGCTTCTCAGGTGAGCGATGTGGCCCATGGGCCTCTTGTTTCAATGGGTGGCACTGTAGCTCTCCGGACTATCAATATATATTTTTTCGGAGAGCTACAGATCTGCAGCTAGCTAATTCTAAATCCATGCATTTGCAGAATATTCTTTTCAAATACAAGAGAGAAAACAATGATAGAAAATAAAAGATACAGTGTAATTTGTCTTGATGATCTGCTTTATTGAAAAAAACACATTTACCCAAGGTTCTGTCAACAAATTACTATTAATAATAACTTCAATGGGATCAATTATTCTTTAAAAACATATTTAAACATTGCACGTAAACGATTCATATTTACGTCGTTTTGACGTTACAACGTTGAGTAGCAATTCCTGACGTTGCAATCTAAAGATACAGAGAGCTGATAATCAAAGATTAATATGTTAAGTATGAAGGGTACAACAATGCGTAAACAAATTTTAAAATAGGAAATGCACATTGACGTATGTCCCAAATCGTGAATTCTAAGAACGTCAGACGTCATTTTAAGCAGCTGGGGGACATTTCCGCAAGACATTTCGATTCTTTAGTAATTTCCTTATTAACCGATAATATCTGAAGAAACCTATATGTTTCAAAAGTAATTTCTCAGTACTTTCCACAGACATAAATTTTAATAAATATTGCCTCTTGCATTCGGAATAAATCGATAAGCTATTTACTAATATATATTTGACATGACGTCATTTATACAGGGGGGCATGTTTGCAAGACACGGATGATGTTTGATTAAATACCTTAGCGCCTGGAAAATTTTCATTATAGTTTTGGAACAAGTTGTTGTTTAAAAGTACTCATTGTATGTCAAATCAAATTTGTAAATTTTACCGACAAAATTTTCTTTTTTCCCATGGAAAATGCGGTAGACTAAATTTTCATTGAATGGGACATCATAAAGGACTTTTATTTCAAAGGATGTGGGTATCGATTAACAGAGGGTGTCAACAAATATATGTCTAAATATGATGTATGAGAACGATCCTGTGAAATAACCCCCGGTATCAAAGAGATCCGCGAATATTTTTCAACCTTTTTCTAGAATAAACTATGTTGAAGGTATTTTTTTGTTACAACGGGACAAGTTGACGTTATTCCGGAATATAGTAGTCTGTCAATGTGTAAATACCTTGTAATAATACTTCTTTTCATTACAACATTATTGGTGAGAAAAAACCTTTATTTTCATATAAAACACTACATGTTTATTATCAAGACTGTACTATAAATGTAAGCTGAAAACGGATTATTTCCTATTAGAAGCAATTCCTGACGTTACGTCCAACCATTCTGCTTTTGAAAATTCTTTGTTCTTTACGGCTAAATATTGTATTTCTTATTTTTAGAATGTCATTAATTGGATCGTAAGAGGGTTTAATCATCTTAATTAAACAACTGTCAATCTTCTTATAAGTAAAACAATCTATTACCTCTTATAGGTATCACTTAAACTGATTTGTAAGAGGATTTAACGGGCGATCGTCATAACGTTTTAAAATCATAATTGTCTTTATAAAACACCCTTATTTAGTTGAAACACCAATGTTAATTCACTTTTATGTTTTTATTTGATTTTCGTCATGATTCCATTAAGAATAAAGCGATCCTGGGCAATAAACTACATATGAATAGGTATACATTTCCTTTATGTTTATTAATATATTGATTTACAATTTTATATAGTTTCCATTACATACATTGTATATTGTAATTGGTACAATGTACATAATGCCCTTTACTTGATAAGCTTACCTACTTTATAACTAATCTATATCCCACGTGTTACGGACGTCGTTTCCTGACGCTGTCAAAACGGTAAATAATTATATGTAATACATAATTTGTACGGATTAATCCAATTGCCGTGTTTCATTCGATTTTATTAAAAGACTAAGTTGTTTTATATTATATATATTATCTAAAAATAACTGTATCTGCACATATTTTAACTTGTGTTTAGACTTTTTACTGTATTGTATAGTGTATGAAATATTGATTATATAATTAAGACTTTGAGGGAACCCTATACTTTGACTTTTGTAATTTTCTTCCATTACAAAGTATAAATATGCATTAAGTCGAGAAAATCCAGTAAATTAAATATAAAGTGTGTTAAAAGAGAATTGAAGGGACGTGCCTGTGAAGAACCATATTTCAAAAAAATATTGCAATTTTAAAAATTGTGTTCCCCCAGTTATAAAAAAAATATGTAAGTGTTTAATTTCCCATTCAGAAATCTTGGCCAAGAGTTTTAAAATTCTCGAAGAGAATATATTCAAAAATAGGATTTTTATTCAAGTTTTTCAAAAGTAGGTCGTACTCAAAGCTAAGAATCATGAGGTAAAAAATTTCAAAAGCCAAGGAAAGTTTGTTCAAAAGAAACTTATCTTTCAGTGTGAAATATGAAAGCCCTATTATCAACCGTTCAAAATTATGGCCCATATTAAAGTTTGTATATGGGAAAAATGAAAAAAAAAAGTGCTTTAATTTTAAACTCCAAGATATATTGATACCCAAAATAAAGGTCTTGTCACAATGAAAACTTGTGTGAAATATGGAACCCTAACTAACTGATCTAAGTTATGGGTAAGGTTAAAGTTATTCTTGAACAGACAGACAGGCAATCCCATGATACCATGCTTAAAGCGTGGGAAGGCATATTATTCAAGAAATAATATATCCGAAGGGAGCGACAAAAAATTTCGCCTTAATTGAAGGTTTTCACAATGCTTGGATCTGTTACTTTCTGGTTTTTCTGTCCGAATTTTAGCAACCAGATAGTTAATGTTCAGCAGCTAGCACCAAAAATGAAGAGTAATACTGAAAATTGTAAAATTCGGAACTCTTGTAATGATTTTTTAATGCTCTAGCATAACGATGTTTGGGGATTTCTTTCAGCAGAAAAAAGGCAATATATATGAAAATTAAAACGTACACGTATTCATCACGTTAACTTAAGGTACGACAAAGGTAATCAAGTGGTTCAACTTTTATAATACCTTTTATTTTATTACTTTGTTGCAATCCAGTGCTTTATATTACATTACAAACGATGTTCTCAGGAGTATCATGTTGAAGTTCTAAACAATGACATAATAAATTGTTTCCATCGTGTAAATATAGCTCAAAATAGCTCGCTTTTGCACAGTCACTTGTGAACTTCCAGACCTGTCTACGCCTTTACAACATCTAACGATGTAATCCGGTTCTCTTATGAATTACATGTATATCATAAAGCAATTTCGTCACTTTTAAAGAAGTTCGGTTAGTTCTCTTTGAAGCGGTAATTTTGAATTCTTCATTTTTATTTTGATGAAATATAAACCAAATGATTATTGAAGTCATTAAGTTTTCAGGCATTCATTCGGAAAACCTTGGTGTCTTTTCCACAGCCGGCCTTCGAACTCCTCGTCGTTTTCCTCTACGGTCTGTGATTCCCGAACTCCTCACAATACGAACTTCCACCCCTGCATCTCTCAGAGTTTTGGTCAAGGACGAGATGTATCGAATCGCTAGTCGCAGAGTAGCGATTTTTGACAATTTTTGATGCTCACCCAAGTTATTTTTCGGAACCACTTTGCGAAGTTCATCGAAGGCATCATTCAGCATATGCATTCTGTTTCTCTCGCGCACAGTGGCTCCTAGTCTGACCATATCTGTCGGTTTTGTTTTATCCGGGTACTTTTTCTCCTGGTTTTGCTTGGTTTCCAGTCCAAAGTCATAACACACGACCGTTCCAGATGGCACCTCTTGATTGAGATACTTATGCTCACCTGACTGTTCATAATAGTACTCATGTTGTACTGGAATGTCATACGTAATTCCATTGTCATATTGCTGGTCCACGTCATAATGGTCACTGTACTCACTCCATCCCGACTGGACATCCTCAAAAGTGGAGTAACTGTACTGCTCAAAATATTCCCCCATGGCAGCAAAGGTATCACACGCCATTCTTTATGTCTGTTTTACCTAATTATCCATCAATTGTTTTATCCCTCTCCTGTATATATAAATTGTCATGGCAGTCGAGGGCTTAACTGAAGTATTTAAGTAGCTTAGTCAATTTGCAATCATCTTTCCTATCTTTAAATATATATGATGGAATTATAAACAGAGGTAATCATTTTATATCTCGCGCTGTGCCGACGAGTTCGCCGAGATTGATGTTGGTTGGTACGATGAAAGCTTCAGGACGCTCGGAAACGGTTCGGGTTTCATATCTTTCGTGTGGATGTGTTGTTCTTACGAATTGGCTCGGGCTGGAATCCGTGTGAATTGGGGTGTTTTGAATAATAGAAAAATAAACCAATTTCTCCCCAAGATTAAGATGAGAAGAATTAATAGAAATTAATTGTTTATATTACAATATCATAGCTGCCAGTGACGCATGCAGGGGTATCTCGTACAATCGTGTTGACATTAGACAGCGCTAAATCCTATGTTTATATATTGCGTTTTATCCATATTGCATTTTTTCTTGTATATTTGATGATTAGGACGAAAAGAACCAAAAATATTAAACAGACTCGCACCTTATGTTTTGCTCCAGCTGCGAATTTCGTAATACTCGGACTGAACAGAAATCTCCCGAAATCAAACACCGCAGTACACGTGCGTCCGCGACAAATTGAGTGACAAGCAGGAATTTTATACAAGTCTTCAATAAATAAAATAACTTAAGAACTATTTATTCTCTTAAGAATAAATAACAAAAACTTTTTTTCTTCAGAAATTTGCAATGTTTCTAATAGATAAATATTCAAGTAGGTAACCTGAATTATATTTTCTAGGCTAAGTGAGGTAATTTTGTAAGATTTTGTCACAACGTCAATGTGCATAATGTGTAGAATTACAAAGAAAAACGATACAAAGTTGCATATCAAATTATCAAAGAAAACTTACGATTTGTTTATAATTTAGGAATGATAATTTTTGTCATTTCCATTTAAAACCATTAAAATATATATACATTAAAACATGCATCATTTGCTTATTGTTTTATGCACTTATTGTAGATAAATCGAGATATTAGATACTATTTGAGATAAATTACCAGACATTTTTATTAAGATTATAGAATATGTTATATACAAAAATCCGATAGGAAATCACCTGAATCGCTGATATCACGTTTTGTTTTCTAATAATTATTTTTCTAGACATTTTGAAAACGGTTTCGAAATTACAAGATGATAATAATTGTGATATTTATGTTATAAGAATGTTATGCAGATATTAAAAAAGTATATTAAATGACGACATTAAAAAATCATATCGATAAATATGATTTTTTCGAGTTTTAATTCCATTCAATAAGCAGCGCTTTTTAAAAGAATTTAAATAAAACACTTTTGTAATATTGGATTGTCTCTCTTGCTTCTTACAGAGGGCGAATTAAAACTCTCTCTTCGGATTATGTTCAGGATCTTAGAGTTTAAATACAGCACCTGCAAACTTCTAAACATTTACACCACTCTGTATTTACATAATCCTATCTATCATCCAATCAGCTGCTGGCACAAGAAATCTCGCCAACCAATTGTCTGGCATTCTTTTTTAATGTAGATAAGCATCGCTGTTTATGCTTGTATTTTCATGTTTTATTTCTTTTGGACGATATATTCGCTATCGTAAACCACAATCAAAGACATGGTGACGAAACCGTTTTTAACATTATTCAAATCTTGAGCGCTGGCGATCCAGTCTCTAAATTGATTGATGCTTGCGACCGAAACACCGGGCCTAGTCTTAGAAATTGGTTGGACTGCTGGCCATAAAACAGTATTAAATCATACTTTATATTACGGCATATCATTAGAATGCTTTATATAGCGTTAATGGTGTAGTTAGCTTTCTTTCACAATTGACCATTACTTAAAAGTGGCCAACCAGAGGTCGAATATTCCCCATCGAAAGACAAGCAATATAACCGCGTCTTCTCCTCTCCAATCCTCGATAAAATCTCGCGAGATGATGTCGTGTCGTGGATGCCGTTTTTTGAAACTTCACCTGCGATGCTCAAGATAACCTTGTCTTTGTCTATAAAGGTTCATCAAAAAGAGAAAAAATTAAGATAAGGATCGTTGCCTTTAGATATAATAAAATCCATTGTGGTGGATGTTTTAAAAATTAATCTATCTTAATAAAGATGTTAGTTCTTTACGATGCCCTTTTGGATAATGCATTGCAAAACGTGCACTGGATATAATTCCATAGAAATATTCCATATTTTTATTCCATCTTGTTTTCTGCGATATTTGTCGGTTTCTGTCATTTTTGGATTACTGAGTACTAACTTGGAAAAGCGAGAAAATGCTTCTTTACATGTATAGTTAAATTATATTTGCCTGTGTTCCTTTGGCATGCGTATTTTCAGCGATTTTACTTTGTTTAAAAATCATTGGAATCGTTGCAATCAGTGAAAATAGATGATCGGAATGTCCAGAGCTCTTGTAAAAATATTATTCTACAAGATCCTGGCTTACCGGGCACCTGCCCTGTTTTCAGTATGATTTCATAAAGAGCTTCATCCCTAGCCTGACCCGTGTGTCCCTAGACTGCCCGCCACTGACCAAGACTGACCGATGGTCATTATCCCTTAGATCTTTTTAAAGTTTTTATTATTTAATTTGTACCCTTCATGATGCCTTTTGAAACTAAAAAGAAATCTCCAAAACTCATTCTTCTCTAAAGGAACCCCCATTAATAAAACCCACCAATAAAAACGAACTTTCAAATTCTTCGCCGTTGTCTCCTCATTTTCTTCAGAAAAAAAATATCAAAGAAAGGAGGGGATGATTTCACCTGCATCGGGGCAACTTGACTTCACCTGTCGTTGAAATTGACATTGGACACCTACCGATGCTCGACCTGGCCGGAGTCGGGTCAGTTTCTAACGGTCATGTCCGGAGAACTGACCACTGGTGACCACGGTCCGGGCATCGCGCGGCTTGACCGCCGAAGACCCTCTATCTTACAAAGCAATAGGCGCGCTGCAAAAAAGGACATTGTCCGAGCCCTCAGAACTAATTAGTGGGTATAGAGAGGGTAGTTTTCTTCAGTTTAATATCCAGAGTGTATGACCAGGCACGAGATAGGAATTAACTGTCGGGGTGAGGGGAAAATTGATCGCATTTCTGGAAAACAAACATACTAATTGTCCGGCCCTCGTAAAAAAGAGTACAAAGTATTTATATAACGTTTGATGTTGTCTAGGATTTTCCTTGATTTGCTGAAGGGGGATTACTTTCTTATAATGTTTATTTTTGCTGGTAATGAGAGTTTATTTACAAGGTTAAATTTTTCGATTCAAACTTATAGATTTCAACTTGAAGCCTCAGTTAAAACATCGATGTCTCCGGGTTATGTAACCCAGCAAACATGGTCATGGATGATAATGCACACTTTCATTCATTTTCCTGTTCATGTCTGCAAGGAATATATAAGTAAATAAATTATGCTAATTCAACTATGATTATTATAAAATCTTTAATACAAAATATTGAAAAACTTTTGTGTCGGTTCATAATGGACTGATTTTAAAGCAATAGCACACTAAACATATTAAACTTTAAGGCCCTTACAACAGTAGTTATATGCTTAATCTAAAAACATTCAACAGATATAATCAAAAATATAAACTATGCAGAAAAAAGGTTAAAGGAAATATTCATAAGGAAAACATTTATTTGGCACATCTGACATGTTAAAATATTTGCGTACCCGCTTATCAAAGGATTTATCATTGTAAAAAGAAAATCAAGTTTATTACCAGGGGGCATGCATTGTAATAAAACAGAAAACATCTAAAATTGTATGCATTGGGTATCAGCTTTAAGTATTGCGTTCATCATTCAAGCTTATGAAACTCAACAACACTGAAAAAAAAATCTAGTGAAAGTCGCTAAAAAGATTAGTAAATTTACTGCCCATATAATCACTACCTTAAAAGTAGTTTTACTAGGTACTGAGTAGATTTACTGGATAACTTTAGTAAATCTAGAATTTATAAGTAATTTTCACCAGATTAGTAGGTATCTATACGACCCCTGCTCCACGTTACACCTACTACTCACCATATCTATAGTAAACAGTGACTACTAATCACAACAAATGCTTTTCTTGGCAAACTAGTTAAATTAACTTGGTACATTGTATTTCTTTCAGTGTAGAATCTTTGCAAACTGGTTTGAAAATAATCAATACAGCATCGGGCTGTGCGAACTAAAATATTTTATTTTTTTAATTAATGATAAAAAGGAATATTATTTAATAATAATTATATACTTATACATATTTATTACCCTTTACATATACTTTTTGTTTGACTAGAATTAAAAAAAATCTCTCTCTTAAATTTGATCAAATTACACAAAATAACGCGTTATACGTAATTGCCGCAAATCAGGGATAAAACTCCAGCAAACTGACCCTTGTCCTTCATAATTTTTGCGGTTTTGCGCGAAGAGTGTAACAAAGTCAATTTTAGAGTCCAGCAATGTTCCGCCGAAAATCAAAGCAGTGATGCACCCATTCACGGTACAGATCTGCTCACCCTGCATCATAGGTGAAAAGGTCAACTTTTCTAAAGCAGGTTCAAATTGAATTAACGGACACTGAAATTGTGAGCTTAGAGAGTTTCGGTTTTCGCTTCACTACAATAGGTCTCACAAATCTGCTTGGTTTGGATTCCTAAAGCGAGGACAGTTTTCGCCAAGGGGCGGGTGCATTCTATCTATACCGTTCTATGAACTTAAATTAGCACTTGTTCAGAAATGGTTTATAGTTTGGTGAAATTATAATGATGCATTAGTAAATCGAACAAACGGTTCCTTGAAGTTTCTCTTTAATTAGGATCTTGAAATCAGTTATCTCTGGAAAGTAAGCACGTTTTCCCATTTAACAAGGGTCTTCAGTTTAATTTTTCTTATTCGAAGAGAAATTGCAGTTTT